ATGAACTATGCAAAATTAGAATAGACATTACCATAACACATAAGAAACTTATCCTATCTCAACTATTGATTATATATCATTTAAATGTAAACTAGTTTTGCACTTATTTCATATTAAAAAAATATATTCCTCCCCCATGTATAAAACACATTTCCAAATATTGCCAAGGAAAGAGAGCTGTACATATTTGTGTATGTAGCTGAAACAGCTTTAGTAAAGTGGGAATTTTTGTTAGAGCTCCTGTTACAGAATTTTACTTTCTATTTTTGATGCATAAACAAATACAAACCATTTCTATTCTTGGCAAGTTGGTGGGCCTGGAAGAGATAGCATCTTCTTAATTGTGAGTCAAATCTTATTTGAAAACAGTGAGAGAGCATAGGATGGGGCATTGTGTTACTGATTACATGGGAATAGTATCCAGAGGTAGGCTATTTTTACAGACACTGTCAATAATTACTCTTGAGTTAGACCCCCCAAAATCTTTTCTATGTATTGATCTTACATGAATTCATCATAAGCTACCTACTGAAAAATGTAGGCCATTTTAGTTTGACAGTTGTCTCATTGCAACAAGGTTATTGCTGTGAGGATTACTGTGTCATCAGTTTGCAGACACGTGTACAATTGCAAGCATGCTTCCACATGTCATTAATACCAGCACCAGAATAAAGTGCATTATGGACTTTTCCTCTGGGAGTTATTCAATTGATTCATCATCTGCTTGCTAAGTTCAAGGTGATCTAAATAACTCTACATTTAGGGGCAATCTCGTTTCATCTGAGTTTTATCCTTACAGTTTTTTCTCAGCAGCATCTTTTTGTAGTCTATTTGAAAAATAAGGCTGAAACCTCCAATTTAGCTGCAGTCTTTCAAAATGCACATAATTTACTAGAGGATCAAGCAGTCAATGCTTGAATCAAACAAATTCATTCAAGGACAGCACCTCTTACCTCTTTCACAGGCAAGCTTTACAAATAACTATTAAGGAATGAGAATTCCCCTTTCCCCCCACGTTTGGTTTAGCTAGTATTAGTGGATGTTGCCAGTAGACCACACAAAGTCTTCGCATGTATAACCTCCTGGGGAGGTATGCACACTAATGCATTGTACAGAGTAATTTGTCCTTAGTATGTAGAGTTGTTTTGGCTGGCTGAGTCTTAGTGCTAATAATTTTATGGGAAGCAAACACTGCAGGAATTGTGGGTTTCACTTGCACACAGTGGAATAAATAATGCTTGTATGTTCAGCCCTTGAAAGTGAGATACTGTGAGTGCCTGGAAACAAGGTGATGCAAACCTGCCAACTGTAGCCCTGACATTGTCCAGTCCTTTTATGTGTTTTGTTCAGATCACTTTCCAGAGTTCTTCTTTTACACTATTCTGGAATACCCATCTATTGGCAGTCAGGTGAAGTCCCTGGTGTCTGGAGAAAGGAAAACATTGTACCCATCTTCAGAAAGGGTAGAAAGGAGGACCCTGGGAACTACGTATGTGTCAGCCTCACCTCTGTGCCCGGGAAGATCATGGTATCAGGTCCTCCTAGAGACTATGTTAAGACACATGGAGAACAGGCAGGTGCTTCAAGACAGCCAGCATGGCTTCACCAAGGGCAAGTCCTGCCTGACCAACCTAGTGGTATTCTATGGTGTAGTGACTACATTAGTGCACAGGGGAAGAGCCATGGGTGTCATCTGTGTGGAGAGAGAAGGATTTGATGAGTGGACACTTTGGAAGATTAGGATTTGGTTGGCTTCACATGGTGGTAGTCAGCAACGAGAAGTACAGATGGAGATCAGTGACAAGTGGTGTCCTTTATGGAGTCTGTACTGGCACCATCACTGATATCTTCATCAATGCCATAGACAGTAAGATCAAGTGTACCTTCAGCAAGTTTTCAGGCAACACCAAGCTGAGTGGTGCAGTTGACATGCCTGAGGGACAGGATGCCATCCAGAGGGACTTGGACAAGTTTGAGAAGTGGGCCCTTGGAAACATCATGAAGCTCAACAGGCCAAGTGCAGGGTGCTGCACCTGGGTTGGGGCAATCCCTAGTGTCAATACAGGCTTGAGGGAGGAAGGGATTGAGTGCAGCCCTCCCAAGAAGCACTTGAGTGTGCTTATGGATGAAAAGCTGGATGTGAGCCAGCAATGTGCACTTGCAGCCCAGAAGACCAATTGTGTCCCAGTCTGTATCAAAAGCAGTGTGACCAGCAGGACGAGGGAGGGGGTTCTACCCTCTACTCCACTCTTGTGAAACACAAACTGGAGTACTGCATACAGCTTTGGGGTCCTCAGCACGGAAAGGTCATGGAGCTGTTGGAGCAGATACTGAGGAGGGATCAGAGGGATGGAACACCTCTCCTATGAGGAAAGGCTGAGGGAGCTAAACTTGTTTAGCTGGAAAATAGAAGGCTCTGGGGAGACCTTAGTGCAGCCTGTCAGTACCTGAAGGGGTCTTACAGGATGGGGAGAGACTTTTTACCAAGGGCCTGCTGCAATAGAACAGAAAGTAAAGGATTAAATATAAAAGAGGGTTAGTTTAGACACATATAAGGAAGTCTTTTACAGTGAGGATGGTGAAACACTGCAACAGGTTGCCCAGAGAGGTGGTAGATGCCCCATCCTTGGAAGCATTCAAGGTCAGGTTGCACAGGGCTCTGAGCAACCTGATCTGGTTGAAGAGATCCCTGCTCATTGCAGGAGGGGTTGAACAAGATGACCAACCCAAACTATTGCATGATTCTATGAAAATGACATAAAATGGCATGTGTATAGGAATGTAATAGCAAATGTGGTTTTGTCTTGAGAACTGTAGAATACTGGAAAGAATTAACTTGCCATCATGATAAGGAAAGCTGCAAATTTAATTTAATTTTTGTTCTTTGTATTTGAACCACACAAAGCAGGTAATGCACTGAGGTTTCTGAAAATTATTATTTGATCCTTTCTCTGTAATAATTCCTTTAGCTTTTACAACTGAAAGCCAGTTCTATTTGTCGTTAAAGTAAACTGTTCAAGCAAACTCTCCAACTTTTTTATTTATTTATTCTGTTCTCTGAAGGGAATTAAAATGGTGTGGGTTGTAGCAAATGCAGAACTTCATCCATAATGATTTTCTTCTTTCACGAAAAATACATTGAAGCTGTAGTCATTTTGTTTTATCATTTGGTGTCTCGGCAACTAAAATGTATCTCAAGCATTATAACAGTTGGGAGACAAGAGATTTTATTGTTAACCTTGGTATTTCTCAGACTTCTTTTTGGGACATGAAAATGGGTAACTCAGTCATCATATTAACTTCAGATGCAGTGCAAAGAATTTGAGGGGAAGGATTTTTCTCCCACCAGCTATATTTCAGAAAGGTTCATAGGGAATGGAGTGAGGAAGGTAGCTGGATGGAACAGAGCTGAGAAAGTTTAGGTTTGCTAGTAAAGGTCTTCTCCATCCCTGTCCAATCACATCTCTTTGGATAGGATTAGCAACTGTGGGAACTACCGGAAGTGGAGTAAAGGGACACGTCTCTCACCGTTTCAGCAATATGATCCAAAATTATCATCCTCTAATTGCAAATGGATCTGATGTTTATGATTATTAAGATTCATTTCATTGCTTTTCATCTAGACCCCTAAATCCATTTAGCAAGTTGTGATTAATTTTCAAAGTTCCCCACAGTCACTAATTAAAAAAGAAATCTTATGTCTGTGTAACAGGCAGGAGGGTACTTTAAGACCACTTATGAATCATGACAAGGCTACTTAACAGGGCTATTTATAAGCCTTAGCCACAGTAAAAATTTTGTTTAACAACATTCCAAGAATACTGTGAAGAAAACCCTTTGATTTAAACACATCTTGCCACATGCATCTTTGCTTTTGAAGGGAATCTCTCATCCCACTGAGATGATGAAAATTATGATCAGGTTTATATGTTAGTCAGGACCAGTCTCTTTCCTTATGTTTCTAGAAATAAAAAGTGCTTTCTAGCACTAGAATTGAGTAAAATAAATGTAAATAAAGAGAACAGATGAGAAGAAGCCACCCTGGACCTAACTGTAACAGTTGCAATACCACGTTACACAACTTTTATGTAACTCCTGGCTGTACTCTCTAATAAAAATTATCCTTAGAGCTTTAATTTTATAAGCTCTGCATATTTATAATACACAATGTACTTTTATTCATATACCAAAGATCTGCAGCTAAATTATTTACTATGACCATAAGATTATTTTAATAATTTAAGCCCTTAATCTTCTATCATATTTTCTCTTGCACCCACTCTCTTTGTGTCTGTCTCACTGACTTTGTGGTTGTCTGGGAATTGCTATGCACGCAACCTGATTTCAACATACAATGCTATTTCTTTGTAAAAATAGTTGCTTTTCTAATAGCTGAAGTGTAATGCATTCCTATAGTTATAGGCTGATGGAAAGACTTAGAGTAAATTTCCCATTTCTCTAGTCTCCTGCTTGAGTTTTTTGAAATTAGGGTGGAGATAGACAGCATTATTAAAATATGTTACGTCATTATGATTTACCAATTTAATCAGGCATACACACAGTCTACTTTATCCAGGTTATCAGATCTCTTGCCCATAATCTCTTATTTTTCACTAAGCAACGTGGGAGCTTGGAGGACTGAGGCATTTCAGATCTGTATGTGTCTGACAACCTGGAAGAGAAGGACATGTGCACTAGAATTACCAACAGAAATCTCAGTGAGGTTTTTTCCCCTTAGCTTTCAGCCTGTGTATCTCCTCCCATGGCTTCCTACATACACCAAGGCTTTCTGGTAGGATACATCAGCTATTAGGGAAATAAATTAAAACAATTTGAAAAAGTCCTGGTAAGGATCTTGGAACAATTAAATATGGAAGAGCATTTCAAAGGTATTTGGCAATTTGTATGCTACCTATGTTGATTTAATTGATCACTGTCATTGTAATATTTTGTTATAATTTGAATTATTCTTTAATATAGCTTTGTTTTCTTTACTACAGGTTTAAGATTTTTAAGAGCCCTTAGACTGATACAGTTTTCAGAAATTTTGCAGTTTCTGAATATACTTAAAACAAGGTAAGACGTTTTCTTACATACTGAGCTATTTCCATTGGTGACAGAGCATAAATGGCTAAGATTTGGGGTCCTAGTAATACATTATTTTCCTTCCTGGAAAAATAGCAAAATATTTGTTACTTGTTCTTTAAACCTATTTCTGCTGATGATGAATGATTTATCAGTGACAGCATCTTTTGCTATGTTATCATTAGATTTTAACTGATGTGTTGTTACATTTGAAATATCAAGCAGAGCAGTGTGTTGATAAATTAAAAGCAGAATGAATTACATAGCTCTGCTGTGATTAAACATTGCTGCTTTCCATATAATTGGTCCATGTTCTACTGTCTTGGAAAAACAAATCAAAATTCATTCAACAGAATACATTTTAAAAAGTATTTTGACATATTACCAGTGTCCCAATTTCAGGTTTTTTGAAATGAGCATCCTTTTCCACATCAAAAACATATTAGAAATTACACCAAGCTATCTTTATATTGTGTTCATTTTCATAAGTATTTATTTCATATAATCATTAAAATTCTCCAATTAATTTTCTGGCTTGCTGGTTCTTTGGCCTATTAATACATGAATGTTTTCCAAGATTAGCACAATTTTGAACAAAATATCACTTTGAAGGAAATATAATGACATGTTCCCATGACTTGCAGTTGAAGAAACATTGCTTTTCATTATTCTCTAAAATGACCCAGGTGAAGTATTGAACTGAACTTCCAATAATTACTGTAAACTTAGTTCCATTCTGAAATCCTGTGCTCTCTGCACCAGTTGATAGATGTGCAGGTAACTCCAGTGCTTGCAATGATAATTAGTAATAATGAGTAAATAGCTCCTGAGCTTTGTACACACTGACAGTGAACAGCTGTTTCTTCAACTGTGAGGAATCCAGTTTTTGTCAAAAGAATGTGTAGTGAAGTCCCATAGCTTAGAATACTACAAGGATGGTAAAGGTAATTAGTGCAGGAGCTCAGAACATCCAATGAGTTTAACACACAAAATAACCTTGCTATAAGAAATGGCAATCAATGGAGAAGCCCCATAAACTCAAAGGATTTTGGATAAATGCTAATAGCCTCTTCAGTAGTGTGGGATTTGTCAAATTTCAGATCCATAAATGAAAGGATACTGCATTAATCACATTCAGAGTACTCAGAGCTGGTTTATCCAACACTGACGTGTTCACTGAAACAGCATTTCTCTGGTGCAAAATTCACTCTTATATTAGATATCATCATCTTTGTGATTGTTTATATGACTGCCCAAATATCTGTAAACCTTGAATGTTGATTATTGAAAGCCTGGAAAGCAATGCTTTCTTATATGAGTGTTTCAGTTTAGCCAGTGAATTAATCTTTAGCAGTTCATCACTAACAATGTTTGCTTGACTTAAAAACTGTCACTGCCCCAAAACAGTTCTTTATGTCTCTCTCTCTTCCTTGGTCTTCAATAGAAAGACATGTCTGCTCACTTTTGTGTCTTACTTAACAACCTGAAATGAACTGAATAATTTGGAACACCATTGATGTTCACAAAAAATATTTTTGTAAAATGGATGGTCAAATTAAAACAAACAAACAGAATGCCATTTATTTTGGAAAAGTTTTTAGTTACACATGACATAAATTTGACTGTGAGAGTGGTTGGGTTTTTTATTTCTTGCATGAGTGTAGCTTTTAGAAAGCAACAATCTACTGCTAACTTTAGTGTGAAATTTTCATCTCTTCAGTGTGTTCAAAAGTACTATCAGAACTGTGGTTCATGTGGTGGGTATACATTTTCTGTTACAGTACCAAAATGCTTCTTAATTGAAAAGCATGCTGAGCCCTTGTGGTTAATGGGGAATCTGTAGTAATTTTGAAGGAGTTAGAGGAGTTAAATGACTAGCCTCAACAAATTTATTTTTATTGAAATAAAATTTACTTCCCTAAATTCAATCAGTGGTTTCAATTACATTCCATGGCTTTAAACTGCTATTATTAATTTAAAATATTACACTGTATTGCATGCTTTTTGCCAGCTACTGCGATGTTATTTTGCTCAGGGATGGTTAAAAAACTTCTAGAATTAAGATATTTTAGCATTCCTTGCTATCCACTTTTAAAGTTTTAATGAAATTTGCAATATTATTGTTTGTGAACATAAAGACCAAGGATTAATTACAGATCTTGAATTGTTGAACTGGGATAGCAAATTCAGTATATCATTAACTAGCTCTGAAATTATAGTATAGGAAAAACTCCTTAACAATCTTTACTATTTAAAAAACCTGCCAGAGTTCTCTGTTTGAGGTGATACGTGTTTTATATGAAGAAAACATGGAACTAATTCAACTAGAGGCATTTCAGTGTGCTTGGCATTAATAACAAGTAACTACTGACAAGATAAGAAATGGATAGGGTATAGAGGGCACTGTTGTGTTTTTAGTATTTAGTGTAATTGGAGAAGAAATTCTCTCCTTTTTCTCTCTTCCCCAGTAAAAAATCCCATTTACTCTAACCTAGAAATTAAAATTACTCCTGGAATTAGTGACTAAGATACGAGGATTAAAGGAACATGTATTATATACACAATGGGCAGAAGGGCCTTTCCAAAAACTGGAATCCAAAGGAAGAAACTAAACAATGCAAAAATAGAGACAGTAAGGAGACTAGCAAAGTGTTAAGTAATGATTAGAATATCTGAAAAATTGCTAAATATATTTGAAAAGATCCAATAAAACAAAGCAAATTGTTACAGTGGCATATTGACAGACTGTACTCTGCCAAGGATCTGTTTCCCTAATTTGAAATTAAATGTATTTTTCTCCATATTTTTTGTCCCTGTGTTTTAAGAAATTGACTTATGCAGTTTTCAGTTGAAAATTTCTCTCTTTCACTTTGTTATTTTCTAATATTTTTCAACAAAACTACAGAGGCTTAGGCAGGGCTCACAGTAAGGGATTTTGCACAGATGTTGGAAAGAGCTTAAAGAGGGGGAAAATGTTTGTGACTAATCCTTCATCTATATTTAGACTCTGGCAGAAACACAGGCAGTATTTCATAGAGCAGAGACAAGGTACAGTGTTTAATAAATCTGCAAAAATAAAATGTACCTAACAAGTCATGTAAATTATTATTCTTAATGTCTGCTGCCAGCTACCTGTATGAGAGTAATATGTGAAGACCAACTGACACATTATTTTATCAGGAACATCTCCTGTTCTAAGTTCAGGTGAAGGATGATATTTGGCCTTTCATATTGGAGCTTTGCATTAGCATAACTCCTATGATTTTGTTTAATTGTGAAACCTATTGGTTAGGGTCCTGTGCTATCACCAACAAAATAGGGACTTTAATCAATCATACTTTAAGAAAAAGAGAAATAGAGAATATGTGTTGTTGTAGGTGAACACTACTTAATGGCAGGAAAGCTGGGAAATTATTTAATTTTTGAGTACAGTATTCATTACAGCATCTGTCACATTACCTAGTTATACTATTTTCCTTGTACCCACAGGTGCCCACTTCACTAACTGCAACTCTGTAAAATATTTTTAATGGACTTGGTCTGGATAATTTTCCAGGTCCTTTTCTCAACTTTGTTCAGAAAATAATGCATTTTTTTTTGTCCTTGAATTACTTATAAACAGAAATGTTAATTAATTCTACTGCAAAACTACTACTGCTAATGCTGATAGTGAATTTTTCCCAACTTTTATAATTTCTTAATGCATTGCATTACTAATCATTGTGGGTTTTCCTAAGGCATTGTACCTGTTTATAAATGTTTTCAAAACCATAGGAGAGCTGTTTCCAATACAATTCCATGAATGGCTAAGATTTTTTAAACACAGTCATACATAGACTGCAGTTCCTTGTGTGTTTGTTGAATATCCATCTTAGGACAGTGATTTTTGTGAGAAGAGAGGGAGCAAATTTTACTTATATTTCTTCCACAAGATTTTATATATGTTATTTTACCACTGAATTGAGTGAGGTTCTTGCTTCAAAGTCTCTTCTGGCTACCATAGGGAGGATACTGCTCAGTGGGACTAAAAGTAGTTTGCAGAGTTTGATTGGTAGGTTTATATTTTACTTTATTTAAAAAATTTTTTTAAAAGAAAAATGTGAATGTGAAAGATGAAATACTCTATCTTCATGTGAATTTTCACAAAGAAGTCCATAGGAGTTCATTAAGGCAGAATAAATGAAAATGACTTAGGACTTCATGCAGGAACTGTCAAATACCAAAGTTAGTTAATTAGTTAATTTAGGAATCATAATTTTCTCATGTGTGTTTATGTATTTACATATGAATAATTCCAAGGTGTGTAGCAATTTATGGAAATATAGCAATATAAAAGTACAAAACCAACTCTTAAGAAAAAATATATAAGGGAAAGAAAGAGAGAGAGAGAAAGGCTAAGAGTAGATGGTGGAGAGGAAAGATATGACCACTCCTGGATCCAGCAATGAGACCTGATGGCAATTTAGATGTCCCTTGGTAAAAGTGATCCTTGCAGTCAAGATCTGTCAGGGGTGGAGGAAGCCCAGGAAACAAAAAGTTCAATGGGTTAATATACATTCAGGTTCAGGTGGGAATGCCTAGGTACCTTCCCTGGTGAGGAAAGTCTGATGCAACACTGTGGATTATGCAGAGTCCTCTGGTAGAAGACCCCAGAAATGAGTCTGGGGGAACTTCGGGCATCTTTGATGGTTTATGGTCTCTTCTAAGATGTGATGGCTGTTTCTCTTGCCAGTGCAGTTGAGTAAGTTAGGCCTTATCAGGAGGGATGAATACCTTCAGGCCTGCATGTGAATGTCCCTATACCTCCCCTGGAGTAGGGGAGTTTTTGTGTCTGAGACAGTGATGTAAGAGAGGAAATGTGCAATTTCAAAGGATCTACTTCTTCTTGGCCTTTTCCCTTGACTAACTCAAAACCAGCTAGTTGCTAAACAAAGGTTGGTTTGATGCAATCCCCTTGTGATGGGTGAGCCTCTTCTCTGCACCTGGGCTGTTCTTATGCAGATCAGAAGTTTCATCACTACACCCAAAACCTCTCCTCTGCTTGAACTGGAGAGGGCAAACTTAGCATTAGCAAATCACCCTGATGCTTTTGCAAATGGTTGATAGTTTGAGTCATTGACCTTTAAGATTTCAGTCTTCCACACTGTCTAAATTATGAAAATGTGAACTTTGCAAAGACAAAATGCATATTTTGCATAAACTTTTGATAAAGTTTTTTAGGAAGTCTGTTTCTCTATGGAAATAACCATCAGACTCTTTAGTCTAAAGTATGCAGTTGTATACACGTTTGTATTAAAAATGTGTGAAAAATGCTAGTCTAAGTTCCTCTTTGTTTTGTTTATTTTCAGTAATTCCATCAAGCTAGTGAATCTGTGCTCTATATTTATCAGCACGTGGCTGACAGCAGCTGGGTTCATACATTTGGTAAGTATATTTGAAAATACTTCATTGACTTTTTCTCATGAATCATGTGCTCGCTGAACTACTTTATTGCCTGAAATTGCCTTGATCTGGATAATCCCTTAACACATTGATGGAGTACAATAAAAAGGCATCACAACTTCCCAAATGTTAGGTTTCTACTCAAAACTAGGTCGGAATAGTAAGAAAGACATCATTAACCTCAGCGATAAAATAGACTTGGACTGATGGAACTTGTTGAACCATGAGGATTTACCAGTAGGTGGCAGCGTTTGCTAAAGAACTCCGAGAGTTTCCTGGGAGGGCTGGCAGAGCTGAAGCCATTCTGGGGTCCTGGGAAACCAATGGTTGTGCCAGAGACACACATTTCTGTATCTCCATGAAAAGTAGTGGGATTACTATCATTTTGGATAGAAATTTTTTAGAGGTTAGTTACTACTCTTTAAATTTCAAATTGTTTAGGTGTAGTTTTCAGTCACTGCTAACATAGAGTTTTGTAATAGATTTCTATTCTGCACTTAATACTTGAAAAATGTAAGATAGTATAGAAGTACATCAGTCCATAAATGTGAATATAGGTGAGTAGGTGTGTGTCAATGGTGTGTTTTAAACTAAGAGCTTTTACGTGATTGTCAGGTAAATATAGTCAAATATGATTAAGTGGTTGTCCTTTAAGTACATTTTATGATTAAGTTAGAATTTCAAGCTGCTAGTAGTAATAATGTATTCAGGAAAGTTTTGGACTAATATTAAAATTTAACGATACTGGTGTCAATATGGAGAAATTTAATTGATTTCATTGAATTAATTAGAGCTGCATCCAGCTGTACGAGATTAAATTAAAAATGTTTATTTTGTTGCAATATCAGTCATTTATTTTTCACCCATATAAAAATACACCAAATTTTTGAATGTTTTCGTTTATGATATATTTCTCATTCACATAGGACCATATATTTGAGCTCCACAAATATAGCATTTTTATCATAGAAACAATAGCTTTTTCTATTTTTGAACAAACAAATAAGCAAACGCAGCCCCCCAACGCTTTAAAAATTACAAGAGCAAGGGAAAGCTATTTTCTAGGATTTGGATTTTGGTAGGGTTTGGGGTTTTCTCCTTGGCTTTTCAGTGTAAGTTTATCTATTCTACTGTAGAAATATTCCAACTTTTTACTGTGGAATAAGTGTTAGAGGACATGCCCCTTTCCCACTGATAAATTTGTAGCTTTGTCACGACAGTAGCTGGCTTCTTGGAAAAGTAATTGTATATCACTAAATGTCTCAGCAATGCCTTTAATAGCTACATAATCCTTTGAAACAAACCCATTAAAGAGTATAATTGCATTACATGTAAGATGCACTGTGAAAATGTCCTGAACAAATTTTTATAAAATGAGCTTACCTAACTACATTCATAAGTTATATTATATAGTGGTGAACGGAAAGATACTTTCCATAAATGCTAAGAGTGGCAAGGGTATGTATATTGGCAAAAGAACTGTAGGCCTATATCTGGGACAGGGTCAGGTTCTGTATTTGTTCAAAATAAATCACAGGAAAGGATTCAGAGTTTATATTATATGCCAAATTATATATCTACACACACATGGACTTGCCTATAGCAGTATAAATAATTTAAGCTACAACTCTATTAATTCCTTATATGTTTTCTTGTACATTTTAGGTGGAGAACTCAGGGGATCCATGGGAAAATTTTCAAAATAATCAACCGCTAACATATTGGGAATGTGTTTATTTACTGATGGTTACAATGTCCACTGTTGGCTATGGAGATGTTTATGCAAAAACAACCCTTGGTCGCCTTTTCATGGTCTTCTTCATCCTTGGGGGATTGGTAAAAACTCTTTTTTTTTAATTCTGCTTATTATTCTAGATACCATAATACTTGATCCTGAATATCTCAATGTTGTAATTAAAGAAACAATAATAACCTGGATTAGTGAATTAATATTAATTGTAAAACTTTTAAATATGTTTAATATTCCTTTTTTTCCTGTAGAAAATATTTTGTCAGAGCTTGTCAAATTAGTTCAGTTAGAATTTTTCTAATCCATTTAAATGAGTAATGCATGTGAATACATAAAGTGCCTTCATATTTCAATTTATAATATTATTTGTAGTCCTCTACTTTTTAGTGACTGACTGTAGTGCATTTTTTGGAGTCTGCTATTGATATTTAAAGGCACTTTGCGGTTTCAGATGTCCTACCCACCCTTCTGTGTTCCTTCCCAGAATTCCAACAAACACTGTGGCTTTGGACTGCCTTAAAGAGCAGCTTGCCTGATCCAGATGATGGCAAACCACATTCTCTTTAATTTCAAACATCCTTTCATATCATGTAGCACAATTTAAACCCACAATTTATCACATGACCATAACCAGTATCATTTTATATCAGCAAATTCTCGTGTTCTTTGTCCTGTATGTAAATAGCATCAAAGGTACTAATTGTCTTACGTCAACTTTTCTATTATTTGTCAGTGTTAGTATTATAGAACCTGTTGTAATGTTATTCTCTTAAACAGCAAAGTTTATTTCAATATTTACACTGTGCAAGGTAAGTGCTTCATGGATGAGTTGTAATATATATTGTGCACATACATACATACATATGTGTATTGGTGATTTACCCTCATATTTATTTCACATATACATACATCTTGCAGAGATGATATGTATATAACTAGTGTTACGAATGCCATATATGATATGCATAGATGCATATATATAGGCATTAAATATATGCATTCCCATGTCTGTTTATTGACATACGAAGACAAAGATCATGTCAAATGGCAGTAGCTCTTCGAAGTATCCAGCCACAAGGAAGATGTTTGTTGGACAAAACATGGCAGAGTAATTTTTATTTTCTCCTCAAAACCTTTTTTTCTATCACAATATTCCAATCTTTCTAAACCCAACAGCTTTTGAAAAAGCTTTTTTTGGGGCTCTATCACAATATTCCAATCTTTCTAAAACCAACAGCTTTTGAAAAAGTTTTTTTTGGGGCGGGGGGGTGATCTTTTTGTTTCTTGATGGGGGAAATAACCCCTGATTCCATCTTGTTTTTGTCTTCTTTTAAATCCTAATAATGGAGGGGAAAAGCCTGTATTTTAAAACAGAAATGTAACCGTAGTGATAATATTTGATTTGGTTTTTTGGTTTTTTTTTTTCTGTGGAGCTGGGATAGGTTTTTCCCTTTTGTCTTCTTTTAAATCCTAATAATGGGGGGGAAAAGCCTGTATTTTAAAAAAGAAATGTAACAGTAGTTTTTTTTTGCTGTGGAGCTTGGATAGGTTTTTCCCCCTCTCCTCTTCAGGAAGAAATAAGCATAACTATTTTTTTTGTTATTAGATACCAGTTTGAATTAATTTTGTTCTTGTTTTGTGCGTCTATTTTTCCTCTTTTGACCATATACTTTATTTATATGGTGTGCACCTTCTCCAAGACCAACTTTTACATTGAGCCCTCTTGTTTTGTTTGATAAAAACTTTTACTTTTTTTTTGTGCACCTTCTCCAAGACCAACTTTTATATTGAGCCCTCTTGTTTTGTTTGATAAGAACTTTTACTTTTTTTAAAAATTTCTTTTTAAACAACTGCATAGATCTAATTCTTTTGCATTTTCAGATCTTAAAAATATATATCTTCTGAAAATATTCATCATCCCCCTTTCTTTGGCCTCTCTTTTTAGTCTTTTCTTCTGTCTCCTATCTTCTTCTTAGGCCATGTTTGCCAGCTACGTCCCTGAAATCATAGAGTTAATAGGAAACCGCAAGAAATATGGTGGTTCCTATAGTGCGGTTAGTGGAAGAAAGTAAGTATCCCAAGAGGCTCTGCTGCCTCTGCTGCAGTAGAACACTCTCTGCATGCCATTTTCTTTTTTTTTTGTGTTTTTGTTTCATGCATGTAGGCAATGTTTGCTCGCTACGTGCCAGAAATTGCTGCTCTCATCCTTAATCGGAAGAAATACGGCGGAACTTTTAACTCAACCCGAGGCAGAAAGTAAGTCAAAAAAGACCAGGTGTGGTTGTGTGACTTTAAAGAGCCCCTGAAGGTGGTAATAGCTGACTCACAGCTTACAAGGCTGTATTCTTTGACATCAGATGTTACCACTGGAGAGTTGTCACACTATAATTAGAGACCTGGGCTATGCTATGGTACAAGTCACAAGAGTTTGTCACTTCAAGAGAACCTGCATACCACTAAGACTACACTGACATATCTTGTAAAAAGTGCTGCTATTACATGTGCAGTTAACTTCTGGAGCAGGGTTGAGTTGTCACTTCACAGTTCTGGGTATCAGATTATCATGTGGTTTACCTTTTAACTAAGTGACAATGATAATTCACATGTTTTTCAGACAACTCACTTCTTTTGAAAACTTGGTTTTACTGGAGTGCAAAATATGAGATTAATGTTGACCATTTTATTCCATTGGACTGACTATCTAAGCAGTCTAATAGTGCTGTTCCTTAATGTTTGGCCAGCAGATTCAGATCTCATGCACCTCCTTTTGACTTCGCATGGATATTACAAACACTCATAATTTTAGCATGTATGACCAGGGATTTTAAAGTAATTTTCTTCCACACACCATATAAAACTTATTCTAAGAAGAGCAGACAGTAGCCTTAGTATCAATATAGTATGGTGAATGAACAAATCCATAAGTCCCACTGTTTTTACCTGGTAGCAAAGGTTAAATTTTATTGGACCACATTAGCTCATTACATTTTTATTGAAAGCCTGCTTGTTTTCTTGACCAAGTTAAAACCAGCTCTTTCTGGCATTCCCAGCATCTAGATGTGCTGGGATATAGCCTTTAATGAACTAGATGTACTTGGTGATATAGTGCAATATAGCACAATATCACCTTTAGTGTTGCCATCTTTCATTTCATGACATATCATTGTGGCATTCACTGGTAGAGATATATTTGCCCTGAAAGACTAGTCATACAGAGAGTCCTTTTCATATACCATAAAGAAGGTATTGCAAGAAATGCATCTAATTAATTGTCCTTCTCCTTACTTTAGGAGGATTGGTTTTTACTTTGTTCCTTTCAAATCGTCACCCATGCAAGATTTTATTAAAGTGGATTATGGTTTTATCAAGTTGTTTCTCCTCTCTGTGTACCGAAAACACTGTAAATGTCCCACAGAGTTAATTCTAGAGTACTGGTTTACATCACTGGATAGATAAAGCAAAGTTTTAAAATTAGATATAGCTTATACTTCTGTCCAGTAATACTCAAGCAATTAGATGGAAAACTTCAATACATTTTTTGAGATACCTTCAAATATCTAGGGTAACTGTAAACACTGATGTTGGAAACTTGCATCATAACTCACTTATCTAGATGAAGAAAATGCCTTGATTTATTTCTAAGAAAGAGCAGTACCATTCATTTCCCAAAATGTTTAATTGTGACAGAGGACAGGAGACGTATTTATGTTCATACTTGGTGTCTCAAGGAGATTACAGAACATATAGCTCTGTTTCTGAAGCTCCAAAGGAGTTGTAACAGAGGGGAATATGATTAAAAACTATTTTACATACAGGGTTTTAGTGTCTCCCCTTCTACATTGTCACTAGTACCCAGCATTGCTCAGATGTCTCTAAATTTGGACCTGATCTTCAGTCAGAACCCCACATCCTGACAAGCTCAACTCCAGATTACAGGCTTCTGCTAGCTTTGGGGCGTGCTTAATTTTGGGTTTTTTCACCTTTTGTTTTTGTCTTTCTTTATATGCACTATCTGTTTGTTTTTACCTCACTCTGTCATCAGTGCTTTCTCTGCTAATCTCTACTGCTCATGTAATTTGTTGTTTGAAACTCAGCTCTGTCATCAGCATACAAACTGTTCAATTTACTTTATGCATTGTTCTCTGTTTCAATTATTAATCGCTAAGTAGTTTAAAGATGTCCTTTGCTCATTTGAGTCTTTCATCAGAGAATCTAAGCTTGGGAACTGCACAGTGAAAAGCCATTAGCACCACTTGTTTGATGTTGCTTTTGCAGTCAGTAGAACAAGATTGATGAAATGTTATGTTTGGCCAAAATTTAAGTTTTCATTTGGAATTCAGTGTTGAGAGAATGGATTGTCAGAACCAATAAGTTTTCCTTTGCTTGGGATATGGGCATGTGGTAGTAATTAGCAATATAAGGTCTTTAGTTGAGCAACCAAGCATAGATTCTGGCATCAAACGTAACGAGAAACTACAGTTGTTCTATTTCTAAAGTCAGAAAGTTTCCAGATAAATTAAATACATGTACAATACATAAACAGCTGAATTTTGATGAAAGATGTGGTTTCAGTCTTTAAAATATCAAATGTATATACTTTTTAACTTTCTCCAGAATAGGTAAATACATGGTCTGCTTTGTAGCATTTATATGTATGGTTATATATGTTGCGTCGTAAACTATGTTTGTGGAATAACATGCTTCTATAAGATTATTAAACATTTAGGTCAAAATTAAAATCAACATAATGTCATGCATGTTTTGAGGATTGCACTGCATCACTTTAATACTAAGGAGAGTTTTGCTATGGAATTGTGATTCTCAAAGTAACTACAATGTGTGCATAAGAATTATTGATACAAACTCCACTTAATAAAGAAGAGAAATAACCAACACACCAACAAGTTTGATCTCACATTTCATTTTGCTTTTCAGCCAATAAAGTCTCCAAAGGACTCATAAACTATATGGGAGTCATCATGCACAGTAAAGAACCTTCTCTCTTAGATAGGCACATACATATGGAGTTTGGAAACAGAATTAGTTTGGAGTCAGTATGCAATTATCACTGGTTAAATTTACTTAATACTAAGTTAGTTGTGAAACTTACTAGGTCATTAAGAAATAACTAATGAAATTATACTTGAAAGATGTTATATTTGCATAATTTCATAAAGTAAAATAGTGACAAACTGCTATCATCACTAAAAGATGAAATAGTTTGTAATGACAAATTGCTGAATGTAAATATGGACATAAAAACTCGATGGAAGATGTAGCTGGAGAAGAAAAATGCTACCTTTTATTACAGTATTATGAAAATTTTATAGCTTAGATTTTAGTTTAGACAGTAATACATAATTTTATATATATGCACAGGGGAAGGTTTTTGTTTGAAATTTTTTCATCAGTTACAAACTGAAAGACTATATATAGCTTGAGTATGAAAGAAATTTCTGAATAATTTGGAGACCAGAAACTGCTTCCCTACATCATGTCTACGCCTAGCTCTTTTCTTTTTGAGGCTTTTGATTTGACTTTGTTTAGGCTGTTTCTATAACCTATCTGTAGAATTCAAGAGTTAGTTTTCAAGGGATCATTTTAAAGTGATATTTCTAAAGTGAAGTACCATAAAATGTTCAAAAGGTATCTGCCACTCTGTCACCATAGGTGAAGGACTCTTGGATTTAGAACATAGCAATATGCCTGCAGGTTTGTTCATGCCTCTGGAAGGCTGCAATGGGCAGTGATCACTTTGTCTTTTGATGGTCTTCTGAAGTGCTCCAACTAACCTCTTACCTATAAAGTTTAGGCTTTATGTCTTATGAGACATGGCTCTTCTTCAAGAAATGCTTGGGTTTGGATAAGTAGATTTAGGCTATAGCACTCTTTTTTTGATATTTGGAACTTACACATCCAGTTCCAGCCAAAATAAGACTTAAAAGATCATTTGTGTTATTTATTTAAAGGAAAAAATATTCGAAGTTTTTTCTTTCTTCTTTATAATATTCGTATTACTCAGGTGTGGTATAAGCTTTGGTTATGGATCCAGATTTGTTTTACCTCTGCTAGTTTTTAATTAAACTTTTATTCTACATCTACTAATTTACTTGAGAATCAAGATTGTTCTTGTTCCATTTCTGTATTAGTGCATTCATATGATCAGACTGGATTTTAATTCTGTGAAATGTTTTCCATTGGGAGGTATTAGCTTATTGTCAATCGGCCTGCACAAAGCTGTAGAAGGCATAGGAAAAGAACATTTGTAAACTGATGTGCTCAGAGAGACTGGATAACTTATTGATATTTTTCAGTCTTTGCACTGAGTTATTGAATTTTAGTTCCTTGAACTAAATTATTTTTGCATTTTTCATTCAAAACTGCAATCAAGTCCAATGGAAATTATGAGGTCAGGGTGTAGAATGTTACTTCCCATGAATAGATATTGGCAGAGAGAGGGATAATCTGAACAGGGAGGTTGGACCAGATGACCCACTGTGGTACCTCCCAGACTAAACCATCCGGTGATTCTGTACATGTGTGTATAAATTGCTTGTCTTGTCACAAATGTAAGTGTTTATGCTAAATTTTGTTACAGATTCAAAAGATGTAAAAAAATAATTATCCAGAGGCATTATTGTAGTTAATAAGTGAGATTAAAAATTGTATTTTAGTGAAATCACAGTTCTTTACTGTATAAGCTGTTAAAACCTCTTGTTTCTCTTCTCTCATGATCTGCTCTGCTTCCCAGAGATCTCTTCAGATTTCTTAAATTTACAAGCCATAAATTAGCAAATCATCAACATGTCAACAGGAATAATCATCTGTTGGAGATTCCTTCCAGAAGGAAACATGGGATTCAATAACTAAACTTCACAGACAAAAATAAAAACTGTAGACAGATAGATATGGTAAACAGAAAGACAAACAGATAATTTAAGTTGACAGGCCATCTTGGACTCATTAGACATTTGAATTTCATTAAAAAATGAACAAAAATTTAAGGCTTATCCAAAGCAAAGGTCCATTTGCTGTAGTAATGAGAGGCATAGCTCCAAAGAAAGTGAC